GAAAGATAACAGTCAGGGAAATATGTTATAATCATCAATAAAACTGTTAAAAAATGTCTTTGTGTCATTCTGAGAGTTTCCAGGTTTGGGTGGGAACTTTGCGTTAGTGTTATTTTAATTTCCAGTGAGGTTATGACTGAGGCCCACTGTCCCAAGATGAAATATACTACCCAGTACTGACATCTTTTAAACATGAACAATAAAAAATAATGAAGAGCACAGGAATCAATAAAAAAATAAAGAAACTTTATAAAATTATTTTTTTAAATCACAGCTCATAATTTATACATTACTAACTGTAAAAAAAACGGATAGAAAATAGTACTCTGAATCACTCTGAGTTAAAAATATCAATCAGAAATAAAGATGGTTTTTCTGAAACACTGTCATCATAAACAAAATTCTGATCCCTTTATTACATATTGGCAATATACACTTTACATATCAATATTATACATGAAAACTAATAATATTTATTGGGGGTATACTATATATATACCTGCCTATTTAAATTATGGGATAAAATGTTAAGGTATGGGGATAGAAAGAGAAACAATATCATACTTCAAATTATCTACAATCAACTAATCAAATACTTTAATATCACAAGCACATAATTTTATTTGTACCCTCTTAATTACCTTCAATCATGCATCTAAGTACACATACATTTCTGTAATCATTCATTCATTTGTTTACTCATTCATTTATATAAGTGTTCCCCCCAAAACCATTACCATTAAATAATACATTATTTATCTCTTCATCTTCAGAACAACCCTAGGAGGTGTTATTTTTACTCACATTGTATAAATGAGAAAACTAATTACAAACTTACTAAGTAATACATATTAGGATCAATATATATGGTAAATATCAATGATAGACTGACAGACACAGCTTATCTGTACACTGAGTTTTAGTCTTTATTCTGTCTTTAAAAACCTCTCTATCTGAAGCCCTATGAAAAATGAGCAAAAGTCCAGATACCCTTTCACTTGTCATTTAAGTATAGGGGTACCTTAGTTCTCATTCAAGAATGAATATTAAAATATTCAGGGTCCAATTCCAGAATTTTTGAATCAGAATTCCTGTTAATGGGACCTGGAAGTTTTCTATTAAATTTTTTTCAAGTAATCATATGATCAACAGATTAAAAAAAAAAAAAAAAAAACACTGTATGTTATTGCTCCTATTTGAGATTTGATGAGTTTGGATCTTAGTGATGCTCCAAACAAAAGAGAAATAAAAAATGTTTAGGGGAAGAGCTTATATATTACCAGATACACTTTCCTTTCTCAAAGGTAAAGAAGCATTGATACAGCAGGAAATGTTGACTTGCTCCCTATGTTTTGAAATCAGTCTAAATTTTGCTGAGGCCCAAGTTGCTTGATGCTTTGAAAGCTATATTTCTTTTCTGTGAAATGCAAATAATGATATTAATTGTCTCTTTGGGGCCTTGTAGAGAAAAAATACAATTAACGTTTTTTTCTTTCACAGGACAATGTATGACACGGTAAGAAGCATACTCCACATTCCTATTGTTATTAAAATTACCAGAAAATATTAGAGGTCAGGAAGGAAAAAAATAGTTCTAATTGCACTTGTGTCTTATTTTCCCAGGTTCTTTTGTCTATCTTAAATAATTTTTATTCTGGAATAATTTCTTTTCCTCTCCCCAAATCACATTAAGATTTGAGTATGCTCATATTTCTCAGTGAGTGCTAGAGACAAATCCAGGGTCTTGTACTGACTGGACAAGCACTGTGTCCCTGAGCTACATCTCAGTCCTTCCCACTAAAACCTTTTGAAAAGTTTTCTGTAATTTAAAAAAAAATTCTCTGTGCTATTTCTACTTTAAAATATGACAACTTGACTCTATCCCTCTGCACCAGTTCTAGGGTGTGTATGCCAAAATAAAGTGCTCTAGCTCAGGATTATTGAAAACTAATATTGTATACTATTTTAAAATGAGAACTTTGTAAATGCATGTTATGATTGGATCATACTCTAATTATATAATATACAACATAAGGTACAATTCATAGACATGGTTTTAAATTTAATTCAAATAAATAAACTGATTTGACCCTGTTGGGGAAAAGTCAATGCCCTAATCCAATCATTAATACAATCTTCATTGCAATAAAATTTTATTCCTGTCTGCTTCCTTGGTGCCTAATGATGAGTCGAAACAACATACATATTTTATTTACATATTCAACAATACAATGCTCTGTTCAGTGAATGATGTTCTTCTGCCACTTGGTGGTGCTTGCCAGTTTTAAAATTTGTTTCTTGGTGGCACTATAACACTAAGTACATAGTAAGGAGAACAAAATCACAGCATTCCCATTGGAAAGGGTTTGTTTCGAACTGTTTAATAATTTAAAGAACCTCTGTGGAAGCAACTGTATTTGTTAACCAGTCACAACCAGTAATTACTCCTTTGGAGTTTTAAGTTACTTTGGGAAAAATGTCTTAGGAAGAATACATATTACTAGAAAGCATGCCAAAATTTTACTTAGCAAAGAATTCAATAACAGTTATCCTCTGCTAAGAGGTTCTGTACAATTGTACTTAAATAGCCAAGCCCTGAAATCTTTGCAGGTCTCATTTCATTATCATAATTACTGCATAAACACTTTTAAGGACTTTTGCTTTAGTTTCAAGCATGGCTTATTTTCATAAGCCTGATTAGTTACCACACCAGCCTTGTTATGGATAATGGCATGTTCTCAATCTGTACTGTGGAGTTGTTATAGCTTGATTTACATTAAGCTTATATTTATGTTGCTGTCTCTACTGAAAGGCATCTCTGATTTCTTGCTTTTGCAATATCGCTTGGCAGTTGTATCTACTGAGCATTCCGTTTCCTTAAAGAATTTAGCTGCTCTGTCTAGAAGCCGATTTTCTGATGCCTCTAACGTCTGGTCAAATTGATCTGTTTTAATGGAGTCTTCGTCGGTGAGGAGCGAGATGCCACTGACTAGAATGCTGGGATCCGCTGCTTAATTGCCAGGAGTGAGAGACACTGAGATTCAGAAATCTTTGGAGGTGGGCGGGGGAGGGGGAGGTAGCCTTAGGATGGAGGCGGAGATGCAAGATAAAGGGATGGGTTTCACATAGGGAGAAAAAAGGATTTCTTTGAGGCACCGAGGTGCTGCACGATCACATCTCTCAAAGGAGAAGTTAAAAAGCGAGGAAGTGGGAGGAGGTCGGAGGTTAAAGTACTTAAAAAGATTGCTGGGGCACAATTTTTTTTTCTGGTGGTGTCTGAAAAAGATAGATGTTCCCCATTTTCAAAGTATTTTGGTGTCTTTTTTAAGTGATTAGGAATGGACACTAATTGCCTGTTAGATGCTATCAAACAACGCTGTGCTAAATTCAGGGGATACAGAAGAAGAGAGAAGAAAGGAAAATTTAAAGAGAGAAACACAAGCTATGAAGGTTTTTGAAAGAGAAGGAAGAGACAGAAGAGGGGGGGTTGAAATTCAGAGGAAGGAGGGTGCAGAGAGAAGGGGAGAAAATCCTGAATCATTCAACGCACGCGCGCACACACACATACAGAGAGAGAGAGAGAGAGAGAGAGAGAGAGAGAGAGAGAGAAGGAGAAAAAAAATAATTTTTAAAAAGAAAGAAAAAGAAAACTCTTCCTTGCAACTCTTCCTTGTAGGGCATCCAAAACATCGCGACTGCAGTAGTGACCGAGTCGCAGGAGAAAGATGCTCCTCTCCATCCGGTCCCAGAAAGCTATGGGTCCTAAGGACTAAAAACCCATTAGGCTAAAGAGTGTGTCTAACTGCGTGAAGAATGCAGCAGGCAGAAGGCGGGTCTCGCTACGCCGTTTTGCCCAGTGCCGGCTGGAGCGAAATAAAGAAACGCGCAGGGCCAGCGACTCCTGCCAATTTAGACCTTCTAGCCTCTCCAGATCACTGGTGATCAGGTAGAGAGACCTGCGTAAAGCGCCCAGGGCTACTGCCACTGCTGCTAAAGTGAGCCGGCTGTTCCCGGACGCTGCTTCCCAGCGGACGCTCCCGGGAACCCACCCTTGGCTTATGCAGAGGAGCCCTTCCCTTCTTCTCAGACCACTTGTCCCGACCAAATCTGACCTTCGAAACACATCTGGCCGCACCTTCCAGGTGGCAGCAACATACAGACTCTGGGCTGGAGAAAAGCGTGTGATGGGAGACTGGGATTCAAATCTTCCACCCCTTGGTTTGGGTCGGAGATGCGGGAGGCCAGGAAGGGAAGAAGGGAGAAAAAGAGGAAAGAGCTTGCAAGGCTGGTTGAGCCAGCGTGGCGAGCAGCCTCGGGGTTGCAGGTTCCTGTGGGAAATGCTGCTTCCAGGCCTGCCAGAGCTGTTCTCACACTCACACCATCGCTTCTCACCCTCTCCTTCTCTCAGCTACTGTCTAAAGAAACGTCCCTGGGCTCTCCGCCGCGACATTCCCAGCTTTCATATAGCTCAGGCGGCGCGCTCCCTCACGCTTCAGCGCCGGGCGCCTACAGGACGCCCTCTTCTCCCTGCCCGCTTTCCCCTCTCTGCCCTGCTTCTGCGGCTCTTCGGCCGCCTCCACCCCCACCATCTCCTGCTCCAAGAAGACGCCATCCAGCCGCGGCGGGTGCTCACAGCCCCGGGTCACGCATATAAGAGAGGCGCAACTCTGGACCCTGAGCTCGGTAGGGGGCGTCCTGGAGCGGAGAGTGAAGCAAGAGGTATAAAGGAGTGTGGGGGTCGCCCACCCTGAAGCCTGAGCTTCTTCACATGAATTATCCGCGCCTAGCTCCATTCGGGCTAGAGCCTGGCAAGCTAGCCCATCTGTGGCATCCGCGGCCGCCTCCTCCTTGCACCTCCTCACCGACCCCTCCCTCTCGGGACCTGCATCCCGCTCCACCAATCAGCGTCCGACTGCCGCTTCCCACGTGATCCCGGGCGGGCTAAGGACCTGCTGCTTCCCAAACGCCAGAGGGATGCGGGCGGCAGAGCGCGAGAGGCGGCTGCTAGGCTGCGGGGCGCTTTGACTCTCCCTCCACCCTTCCTCCTTGGGCTCCTCTCCTTTGCCTCCTGGACTTCTGTCTCCTGCGCTTCTTGGAGGCCCCTCCTTATGGCAAGAGCTTATCGCATCTCTGGAGTTGCTTCTCAGCGGAGGACCCTCTCACTCCCCGGGCTGAGCCGGGTCACTGGATGTTGCTGAAACTCTCGAGATCATGCGCGGGTTTGGCTGCTGCTTCCCCGCCGGGTGTCACTGCCACCGCCGCCGTCTCTGCTGCCACCGTCCGCGGGATGCTCAGTAGCCCGCTGCCTGGTCCCCGAAATTCTGTGTTCTTCAGAAGCCGTTTGCTGCTGCAGAGTTGCGAGAACTAGTCATGGTGCTGTGGGAGTCCCCGCGGCAGTGCAGCAGCTGGACACTTTGCGAGGGCTTTTGCTGGCTGCTGCTGCTGCCGGTGATGCTACTCATTGTAGCCCGCCCAGTGAAGCTCGCTGCTTTCCCTACCTCTTTAAGTGACTGCCAAACACCCACCGGCTGGAACTGCTCTGGTAAGCCCAGAACCCGGCCCCCCCACCCGACCCCCTTAACCATTCAGAAGAACTCTCCTATCCTGCATAGGCCAGTCGCTACCCAGCCTCGTGTTTCCCACCGCCCCAAACCTGAAACCCCCTACCTCCATCCAGAGAAAAACAGGGAGCTGTTCCAGCCCCCCTCCGGGAAGTGAAGGGGGGGGGCTACTGGGATGGGCAGAAAGTGCAGGTGCTGGAACCTTTGAATGCTTGCACTTACACTGACGCCTCGAGGATTTTGAAAAATATACGGGATGGTTTTCTGGGTTCACTGAAAACAGTAACAACCCTATGGGAAACACTAAACAGAACATTTCCCTTCATTAGAGAAAAAGTCTGACTAGGATGAGCGAGAAATAACTTTATGAGAAAGAACAAGCGAGAAAGCAATAAATCAAATGGTGACTGCAGAAGAAACACTGATTCCTGGCAAAAGTGCCAAGAGAGTATGATGGTCTTGCATTCAAGACCAGTTCACTTAGATTCTAAAGGAGTAGGTTTCAGGAGAATCAATCTCAATCAATCTCAATATCTCTCTCTCTCTCTCTCTCTCTCTCTCTCTCTCTCTCTCTCTCTCTCTCTCTCTCCCTCCCTCCCTCCTTCTCCTCCCCCTTCTCTCCTTCTTTCCTTTGCTGCAAAAGACATTGTATTTGATTTTGCAGTCCAAAGATACCCCTCCTCTACTTCCCTAACCTCCTGTGTGATGGAGGGAAGTTGAGAAGGAACCGTTCACAAATTTCCCAGGCCAGAGTAGGTATGACCAAGGCTGGGAAGGCTCACATGCAGGGGGACAGAAGGTGAATTGACCTCTGTGGGCTCTGACTCCTCCATTTCCGGACAGGGTTTGGAGTGGGTCTGTTGCACCTCTTACTTGTTCAGGTCCCTTCAGAGTCTGAAAGCAAGACCTTTGGCAGCCTTTGCTCTGCTAAAGCCTGCTAATTAAATAGGGCCATAGGATGGGAGTTGCTGCACTCCTAGCAGTCTTCGCATTTCAGTATGACAGCCTGTAGTATACCAGGTGGAATTGTGGTGTGATTTCATTGGCGTTTTAAACTCCATTAACATGCCTGGGTATTGTCCCCTAGGTCTGGTGTGTTCTAGTTTTAGCAAGTGTGCATGTAATTTTTCATCTTCTGTAAATATAATTCTGCTACAGTTAAATCTGGCTCTGAATGAAGTGACTTTCAGGGATGTATGTGAGCCAAAGTGTATGTAACTTTTGAGAGGAGGAGATGACTAACTGTAACTTATAAGTGAAAGAATATGTAGCTCTTAGTTATTACTGATCTAAATGCCAAGAGGAAAATTATTATGCATCCTTTTAATTTATCCTTTTTAAAATAAGTTGAGAATTGCAACCCTGTTACACTGGGTCAATAGATCTTTGTTATGTTTTTGGTGATTTCTAAATTTGACATTTTTATAAATTTCACGTTTTTAAAATTTATTATTGGTTTATGCATGCACATAAGCTGTTTTTGAAAGAATAATTTCTACTTCATAGGTGCCTTGTCACTTTTTAGATGCTTTGTTATAAGAACATTAAATAATCTTCAAGATCAATTGTTTCAAATGTTGATGGCTTCTTAGTCCAACATGACTGGTTTGCTTCATCCATAACTGTGGTATTATTTGGGGAAATAACTAACTGAAATGTGACATTAATATTGGCAATAGAGAAATTCATTATTGGCCTGATATCTTAAAGGGATCTGCACAAACTGAAAAGAATGGACTGGTTTTCCAGGCAGATTGTCAAGAACTTGGCACCCCCCTCCTACCCTGTTAACTTAGAGGTGATCAATCTTCATTTGAGCCAGACAGACCATCACAGAATACACTGTGCCTGTTTATCTTTATTATTGGGGCTTTGTTTCCTCTTTGTCTGGATAAATTCCAAATAAGGGATAGTTTCAGACCTTAAAAAGAACAATTAAATATGGAGAAATGGTAAAATAGCACTCATAGACTATCACCAGCTCTTTCTCAAAATGTTGAGTTTTCCAAAATATTTTTCATATATATATATATATATATATATATATATATATATATATATATATATATTCCATTTGATGAACAAAAAAGTAAAAAAAAAAAAGATGATAGGTAGCAAATGTAAAACTTTCATTCACTGTTGCCAGTATTCACCCAAGCTGAAATGCACTATTTAAAGAGGATATTGAAAGAAAATTGGCTACAAAATATCTGTGAAGGATGGAAATGACTGTTGATCACTTAACTAGCTTGTGAGGTTATTGGTAGAGAGTGTCCTGGTTGTTGGAATTAAAATTGAGGGAAATTCTTTTAAAGATTCAAGGTGGTCCTTTGGTGAATCTAATACGTTTTAATGACTAGAGTGTTCTCTTTAAATTTGAGGTTATGATGACAGAGAAAATGATCTCTTCCTCTGTGACACCAACACCTGTAAATTTGATGGGGAATGTTTAAGAATTGGAGACACTGTGACTTGCGTCTGTCAGTTCAAGGTAAGATGTCTTTGCATCTTCAAATTCATGAAAGGGACTATGAAGCAACCTTTTCAACCATCACTTGTCAATTTATACCTATATGAGCTAAGAGGAAAGATGGCATCAAGCAAAAGTATTGGCAAGAGAGCCAACAGATGTCAGGAAGATGTCACCTCTTGTACCATACTTATCATGCCACTGGAGGTAGAAAGCTTCAGGTTGCACTTTTTATATATGCTGTCCCTTCTAGTGTGCATTTTGAAAGTCAAGAGACTGGGGGTAGTAGTCAAAATAGTTGACCAGTAAAAATTGTGGATCTGTATACTTTTGTTCCTTTTGACTTGGGAATATTTTGAACTTATTGCTCTTTGTTTTAATGGTCTTGGGTTTCATTCTCCTTTCAATATGATTAAATATTTAAATAATCTCTGATTAATGTGACTTTGAAACTACTGATCTAGTTTGGAAATTATGGACCTTATTAATGTGTTAACTTTTCAGTGGATACCACATTGAATTAGAACTGAATCTCCCATGAATCAAAATAAGCACATTGCATTGAATTGCAAGTCACTTCTTGAACGTGAGAAAAATTCTCTTGGTCTCATGTTATAAAGTTTTCAAATATTAAAACACAGAAAAAGTTGTGTAGTAGGTATCATTAAAACTAGATTATTAGAAGATAAAACTCTCAACGTTATTATCATCATCATTTAACAAATGCTTTCTATAGTGTAAATTATAAACCTTCTTTTCCTCTCAAAATATTCATATAATTATATATACCTTCAATTACATAGATGTTGTGTGAGTATTCTGTATTCACTTTTGAGTATTATTTACTTTTTAAAATATCCTTTGACATCAATATAAGATTCAACAAGGAAATATGAATGTAAACAAAACTCTATAGGTGAGATAAGAATACTTTCCAAGAATATAAGTAAAAGGAAGTTATAGAACAAATAAAAACATCAATCTCAAATTCTGGTCTAAACATTTGACTTAATGTGTAATATTTAGAATTGAAGAAATTTAAATATCTTAGACTGAATTTAACCACTCACTGAAACATATAAGGGGATTCATATTTCAATATAGTTTGAGTGACTTTTACATAGACTAAAAGCTTCATAGACTTTATTTTCTTTATTCTCAGAAACACAGAAAAGAAGTGCCATTTGTAAAGTGCACCACCTCCTATGGGTGGTTACTGCTGTGACTATACTCCAGTATTAAGACCATACTGTAGTGTTAAAAACACATTTAATATGCATAGACTTCCAAAGTCTCCACTACGCTGAGCAATGTAATTATGTTCTTTCAATGAACTACAAGAGAAAATGGAACATGAGAACTCCCCAATTCATACTTCCCCAAAATGTTAACAGGAAAAAAAAGTTAGACACATCACTAATTAAAGATACCCCCCCAACACACACACAGGATTTTCTGAAAATTTTCCCTTTAACTTTGTGATTCTCATAAATGTGTCTTATTTTTGTAACCAAGGTTAGATATAATAAATGAATTCATAAACAGTATAAAATAAACTAGGAAGAAAATTCCTTAAATGGAAAGCCATGTTCTAATATTTCACCTTGAGGGGAGGGAAGAGTAGATAGAACTCTAAATGGATGAGTGCTACTAAATGGAAAAGTGCACTTTTCTTATTAAAGGAATTGTGTTTGGTTTTTCAGCTGCCACAGAAGATTCTGGTAAATTTTTTATTAAGAAAGATATTTGTGCTTTTAATATATTTGTCATTAATTTAAAAAAGTTCTTGAATGGAATAGATTGTAGAAGTCAATGAATGCAAGTTTAAATAGAAACAAAAAATGTAAATTTGTAAAATGTAAAATTTTTAAAAGGTGAATTTTTAAATTTACTACTTGCTCACTACTGCTATTAATGTGTGTTTTGCCATAGTTGTCAACTTGGCAGAAGGAAATAAATATCTTCCTAGTAGAAAATTTAGATTTTGAATATACTGGGAATATAGAATAGTATATGCAATAATGAATTTGCATATACCAGGAATATAGAATATATAGTCTTCTCACAGTACTTTCATGTGAATTTAATATTTTTTTTGGTTTTGTTTTTCTGCACTAGTACCTGAAGAAAGGTGAGAAGTTCTGAAAACCTACAATTTTCTACCTACAATTCTAAACTTCTGGTTCCTTTGCATTTTCAGATAGAAACATGAATTCTTCCCTTCAAAATAGGATACAAACTACAGTCTTTCTTGCTGAGCGATAATTTTAAAGAGAAATGGCCATATATGCATGTAACCTATAATGTCTTCCAATTTGTATTATTAATGACCAACTAAAGTGACTAAGGGGGATATATTAGCATTTATCCCCCTTAGATAATTTTAAGTAAATTTATTTCTACCCTTTAAACCTATTATCTCACTTATTTCTTATAACTAGGTAAATTTTTTTTCTTCTGCTTTTAAATATGAATCAATCAAGGCTCATAAATGTAAGGAACTCACCATTAAGTGGTGATCCTTGAGTAAGAAGCTAGATCCTGACAACAAATGCAGTTTTTCCCCAAGATATTAGACATGAAAATGAAAATATCAATGACAAAAGTGCCAGATTTTTGTGGACAATTCTTAATATATAAAACAATGAAGGTTGAATGTTCCTAATCCAATAATACAAACTTCAAAATGCTCTGAAGTTGTATATGATACTAAAATAATTTTGGATTTTGGAGTATTTTAGATTTCAGACTTTTGGTTTGGGGATGTTTACAGGGCAATATCTATGCCAGTATTCCAAAATCCCCCAAACTCTATAAAATATGAAAGAATTCTTGTCCCAGGCATTTTGGATAAGACATACTGAATCTATACAACTGTTTCTTAAGTGATTATATAAATTACAAAAATGGCAATCTCTTACATCCTACCTTCCTGTCTATATACCAAATGATATGCTGATCAATCTGGTAAACGAATTTTGACAGTGAAAAATTAAATGCAGGCATGAGCACAGGTCCCCTTTATTTGTTTTCCCTTCAGTACTGCTCATTGGAAAATTCAGCTCTTTGCTCACATTTTGTTCTTGCCTTCTGTCTTGAGTAGCAGAGGAGATGCTCACTCCTACGGTAGGTCAGTATTCAGGTGCAAGATATATATATCTATCTTACACCTGTGGAAGACATCTCTTACACAGGGCACTCTGTCTGTCTACCCATCCATCCATCCATCCTGTGAAAGCTCTTACACAGGTATCATCCAATCAGAAGCCTTATTTTCAGATTTTATCTAATTCAAATATTAAATATTTTTATTTAACAAACCATGCTTTAAATCTACAAATGTCTCATTACTAGGACTGTATAACAGAATGCACAGAGCTTAGAAGCAAAAGACAATGGACTTTTTTTGTGAGTGTGAATCTTCAATTTAGATAAGGCTCAATGGAAACATTTAATCTCTGCTTTCTTTGCCATTAGCTGAGCTCACTCAAAGGCGAGGTGCTCTATGCATCTTAGGGTTTTAACTTGTGTCTGAGTACCAGCAGGGGACCTTGTTTTTCTCCATGTTGATCTCTATATGGGCTACTTTAGCCTTTCTCATAACACAGAGGCTGATAATCAAGGGAAAATATGCTGGGGGTGGGGATTTCTTTAAATGACCTAACACAGGAAGCCACACAGAGTCCCTGTCACCATAATCATAGGTCTGCCCATTCTTGAAGGGTAAAATTTTTACATTCAACGAAATTCAGCCACAGGGAAGTAAAAGTTGCTTATAGAATGGTCAAAGGACTGCAACATATGCAAGATTTTTTTATCAATTTCTTTCTTGGAAGAGAAATATACCATATTCCAAGCCATTCTTCCTAAGCCTTTGACAACTGGGAATATAACAGAATTCACTTAACATCTGTTGAGCACCTTCTACATGCCAGACTCTGTGGAAGGTGCCGACAATATATAAAACATAAGTCATACATAGCTTCTAGATGCTGAAATTTCAACTAAAAACCCCTATTAACCAAATAAGCAATAAACCATATGAAATACTTTTAACATAATTTTTATTCCTTTGTAGCAGAAATGAATTCCATATATTCCATTATACCAAGTTATTGAATCTGGTGTGGTAGATTGCTGATATCATAAGTGATGAAGAAATTCAGAACAAAATCATTTTATTGAAAAACACATATTTAGAAAATAAACTTGAGATTTTAAAAACATCTTAGGCAAAATAGAATCACTTTTTCTTCTGTGAGGAAGTTTGCCCAACACATACATTTATGGACCTAACCATCTGGGTTTGAATCTTGGTTTTTTTTTTGTTTGTTTGTTTTTTAACCATCCAACAAGGTAGACTTTAGCAAATCACTAACCATCTGAATTTGTCCCTTCACCTAAAACTGAGCAATATCATCATTACTAATCAAAACTATTTCCAATAATTTTGTATATTTTAATATAGGGTTTAGCATATTTTCATGCTGTTATCTTGTTTTTCTTTTTTTTTCCCCCTAACTCTAGAAATTCCCTGTTTTGGTGTTAATGTTAGTGACTGCTAGTTAAAATACATGTCATAAAAGCCAAATAATTTACATTTCTTATTATAATGAGATTTCCAAAGTATTCCCTATTTTAAGAGCATAACTTTGTTAATTCCCCAATTATCCCAGTTGACAATTTCAAAGGAAGAAACTAAACTATAAACTTATTAAATATTTAATTTTTGAGTAATATAAATAAGGTATACACCAAGACAGGGAAATAGGAAGACCTAGCACTTGACCCCCACTCTTGAATGCAAATGATCTAGATATGTCCCCTTCTTGTGTTATTCATGTTATGAGCGCAAGTCATGGTACTAAAGGCCCAAAGCATTGGGGTAATAATCTACAGTTAAGCTCTTTTCAGCTCTGTACAAATCTCCCCTTGGCTTGTGCATGGAACTTGGCAGCTCTTGTTTTAGAACTGTTCACATTTGGCTTACTACATTTCTCAGAAACGACATATGAACACTTTATCAGTTTATTCGATATTTTAAGATGCATATCAGCATTGTGTAATAGCACTTGACAGAGATAATAAATACTCCCCACTCCCCACTCCAGGTCCACTGACTCTTCTTTTGAGTATTCTGTAGAAGTGCATGAGAAGGCCAAATAGAGAAATTTTTAAGGATGGGACAGAAGAAAATGTGGACCGAAATAATCTACACTTGAAGTATTTTAATTGGGGGTGAAAATAGAGATTAAAAGATAGTCAGTGGCAAAGAATGTCAGGACCCACACATGGGTTTAGCTGTCCATCGCAATTTTGACTCTCATGTGTCTACTGAAAGGGTTAGCAAGTCTGTTGGCTATAACATTACCAGCTGTTGCCTTCTTTCCCATCTCTCCTCCATGTGCTCAGAGCCCATCATAGTGTTAGCAAGCCCCATAAATCCTTCCAACCTTCTTTCATCCCAGGTCCTGAACACAGCATGTGTATCAAGCACCTATCCATTCACTTGCCTTCCTGGCCATGGTTCTGGCATGAGCACAGGTCCCCTTTATTTGTTTTCCCTTCAGTACTGCTCATTGGAAAATTCAGCTCTTTGCTCACATTTTGTTCTTGCCTTCTGTCTTGAGTAGCAGAGGAGATGCTCACTCCTATGGTAGGTCAGTATTCAGGTGCAAGATATATATATATATCTTACACCTGTGGAAGACATCTCTTACACAGGGCACTCTGTCTGTCTACCCATCCATCCATCCATCCTGTGAAAGCTCTTACACAGGTATCATCCAATCAGAAGTAAATTGCCCATTGCCCTAAAAATTAATGAAAGATCAGCAAAAAGTTTTAATCAAATTAGTGTTTATAAAATCTAATGACATAAATAAACAGTGTCTGGAAATGAAAGGTATAACTGTGGAAAGGAATTATTACATAGAAGGTTTTCAAAGTGCCTACAATTATAAATCATAGAAAGATGAAGAAGATTTCTAAAATATGTACAAAATCTTCCTGTTAACAGTTATTGCCATACAATTTGGATTTACTGTATAGAGGACAGTAGATCATAGTTAGCAAAATATAATATTTAAGTTATTCAGTGATTAAAAAGGAAGACTCATAAGACTTTCATTTCAGAGAACATTGATTTATACCATTTATAAATTTGTCAGGATGACTAAGCTATTTTACATAAAGGCAAAGAGCAAGACTTGATTGGGAATAAGAGCGATAGACATGATGAGAAATTAGAGCATAAATGCATCTCAGGTTTTTATCAATTGGATTCTCACCTTATTAAGAGTTCATTTGTGTGCATAAATCCTATGTTTAATTATTATAGTCTATGTTTACTTATTTTAGAGTTTTAGGTTTAGAATCACATATATATGAAAACCTTCTTAGTGACCTCACTAAATCGTTGATTTATTTTGTATGTATTGTACATTTACAGCACATTAACAGTCCAAATACAATTAAAAATAGAAAAGAGAAAAGTGGTTTTGCATGAATCTATGCATGATTTTCCTTCCTTAGTTTCTGGCATAGGTAAGCATTTATAAATAATCATCTTGATCATTACATTTGTTATAATTAAACAATGAAGTGCATCAGTAGTAGTAATCATCAGATAATCACATCCCTGGTGTAATTAGCAGGTATAGGACACAGCCAAGTATCTCTAATGCCTTGGAGTGTGATTATATTATGATGACTATACCCGGTAGGTTGCCTAATTTCCCTTGTAAAAATGTGTACTTTTTGGCAATGAGGTTGTTTTTAAAAATTAACTTTTCTCTTTCTGAAATATATATTAATAGGCATGCTTTGGAATTGTCACTAAAGTTTACATATAGTTCAGATTTCTTGAATTTTTTTTCTCTGCAATCCTTAGTCTGTTGCTAGACTATATCAACAGCAATATCTAATGCTGGAAAGTTACATAAAATGAACTAATAAGTCAGTATCTCATCTGAGTATTCAGAAATTTGCAATGATTAAAATTCAATAGGAAAAAAAAAACAAGAACATTTTTAGTATCTTAGCTACATCCTTCTGCTCCCCACACAGATAAGCATTACCTTGTTTTCAACATCTAAAATATTATATTGTTTTGATTTTTTTTTCTTCCAAGTCACGTGGGCTGTATATCAGAAAAACAATATTAAATAGCACGGGTACATTTGTTGTTTTATGTTTTGCATGCAACTGATTCAGTCACTTTGTTTTTGATCAACTGATCAATTTAGATACATCTTGTTACTCCACTCTAAATAAAATCACTGTTTGGCTGATTTGACACAGCCTTTGTGTAACTTTAAGAGATGCACTCACAAGATTAAAGACTTATAGGATAAAATGGCATCACTGAAACTGAAGACAATGGTTTGTTTTGTAAGTTGTTATTTCTGTTCAGGGTTTCAGAGGGATGCTGACTCTAGTACTAAACATTAGCTTCCATCTGTGTTCTCCAGTGCAACAGTGACTATGTGCCTGTGTGTGGCTCCAATGGGGAGAGCTACCAGAATGAGTGTTACCTGCGGCAGGCTGCGTGCAAACAGCAGAGTGAGATACTTGTGGTATCAGAAGGATCGTGTGCCACAGGTATGTATGTGACCCTCCCTGAGACCTTCTTATGGATTCTGAATCCAAAAATCATGTCTTGTGTTTCCTATTGTCTTCAAATAAATAATTCAGACTCCATATTAACTAGACAAGCCACTTATTCTTTGGTACAAAATATTGCACTATTCTTATTGTCTTTTTACATTTTAATCACTCTGAACAAAAAAGAAATTGCGTCATAAGAACATTGGCAGAATTAAATAATATGTTATTGAATAAGGTACTGATAGTTTAATATGTATAAGTGGAAATCTTGATTGACTGCTCAGGTACCAAATACGTAGAAATCTATCTATGCATGCATAAACTTTGTTTGTTTAGATAAATATAGCTATGTCCTGGAGGGAATCTTTGAAGGTTTAAGTTCTGAAGTTAATACCTAACATTAGCAGCTCAACAAAATGCTCTTCTTACCATTTAGCAGATTATATTGAAGAATGTATTGGTAGTAGATATAATTGATAATGACATCTGTCTTTTCTGACAGTTAACTTGGAATTTTATAAAGCTTTTTAGCTGTTATACCAAGGATGATATAAATAAAGGGGGAGAGTGACATCACATGCTCATTAGCTTTCCGTGTTTTCCTTTTGTGCAGTGGTTGTTAAAGCTTAACAGCATTACAGCAGAAAAAACAAGAGGGGTACAAGCCCAGCTTAACAAAACTATTCTTTAAAATCAAGCTGAGTCTTTAGGTTAGATTTTATCATTGGTACTTGTATTAAAGAAACTTCCGTGTCTTGTAAGAGTCATCCTTAATGGCAAATGGGGATCTTTCTGGAAAGTCATAATTTCTGAGAATTTGACTTATGTAAATTTATTGAGGAAAAATAATAATGATATAAAATGAACTTTTTTCAATGGTATAAATAGAAAATGGTTTTGAGATAGAACTATTTTATTGAAAATTTCCTCTGAGATAGCAGTTATTTCTGTTTAGCACATTAGGTTAAAGGATGTGTGTTTGGTGTCTGGGAAAGAGTGGAAAAGGAACAAGGAGAAAAGTCTCATATTCCTTAGATTGTCTTCTGCCTATTGATTGTTAATGGTTAATAATATTCTGAGATGTACTCATGACCACCAAGGTTTCTCACACTGAACAGAAGAGAGTTGGTGCTATTTCTCACAGTGATGTGCAGGCTTTTGGATTTGGTTTTGGTTGTTAAGTAGTCTTTTCTCCTAAATGATTCTAGGCCCCTATGCCTCTAGATGTGAATGCCCTTTCTGAATAAGCATCACAAGGCAGTGTGGATGGGTGCTTTGCTGCTTTTTATTGCTAGCGCACCCTTGGTCTTGAGTGAATAGTAACAAATAAAAGTGACAGCAATGCATAAGTTTCATGGGCTTCCCAAGTACAGTGGGGAGCGAAGGAGACACCCCTGTTGCTCTCATAATAGAGGTGGGAAAAACAGAAAGAAAGGCAAGAAGCAAACTAATTGTGTGAAAATTCAGTCAGCCATACTAAAGGAACAAAAAATGAAAAATAACAGTTTAGGCCAAATGGAATTAAAAAAAAAAAAAGAAAAAAAGAAAGAAACTTAGTCTCCCAGAAACCAGGAAAAGTATAGAAAAGTCCCAGAATATTTAGGAAAGGATTTGCTCCTCAAATGAGGCAATAGTCTAACAATAGACCAGAAATTAAGGTTGTGGCAAATTATATTTGTTAGCTAAGACCTGTCTTTCTGACTTGCCAGCCTCTTAGGAGTGCACACAATCACATTCTCCTGATTCATTCAAGTCTTTTCATTCTAGTCCCTGATGTGCTGGATGATACTATGGAAATAAACACTTAGCCAAGTTGAAAATGTAATCACAATTGAGTAAGCTGTCCTGAGCTCATTCACACACTTAGATTCCACAGGATTCAATTAGTAAGCTAGTTCTGCTGAATGCATTTTCCTCTGACTAGCAAATCAAAAATGTTTTTGATTTGAGAGATGAGGCAAATACCAAAATAATTTCAATTAAACAGGTTTAGCTGTAAATAAATTGAAGATCAGAATCTTTTTATCTGAAAGAGTTTTACATGTTTTTTTCTTCATAGATTTTCCATTTTTTTATGACTGTTTGACACTGACTGAAAGTGGCAAATTGTGATCTTTAGGAATAATAAGGTCACAGAATATATAATTTTATGTTAATTTTATTTCATTGAACTTAGATATATTTTTTTTTTGTCCACAAAATATTTTTTTTCTACTGGGCAGTTTCCTCATGGTCTCACTGTTACTTTAACTTTTTGCCTTGTGGGAAATGCATTAACTAGGAGCCCAGATTCAGATCCAGTAACATAATATATTTTCATAGGTATTCTGTCATCCTCATAAGTCCTTAGTAGGCTGCTGATCTCTGGTTTGCCAAGATGACTCATCTTATAATTGAAAAAACATTAAAGTTTCCCCTATTTTCTAATGATGCCATGGACTGAATGGGTTCATTGTCCCAGTCTTTTCCTGTTTTTTTCCCCAGCTCTGTATCTGGAGTCAAATCAAACATGAAATGTCTTAAGGACCATGTCCCTTGAATATTTAGAAACATATATGGAAAACACAAGCCATAATACTACCGCCATTTTTTTCTGAGTTCCCACAGCCACGTTTTTTAGAAAACTTATCAATGAATATGCAAGATGTTTATTCAACATATTATTATGTTCCAGACTGTGCTTAAACATTTAAAATAAGCTATTTTACAGTTAGTCTCAAAATAGTCAATGAGATAGGTATCATTATGCCCATTAAGTAGAAGAATAGCTTAGGAAATCTAAATAACATTCCTATGTCATTCGTTGAGTGATGTTTAGAGCTGGGAACCCATAAGCTTTTGGGCATTTTCTCTTATGTGCATGTAAGTATAGAATAATGGCTCATACATTGCCTGGATGTACACAAGTTTATGATTTTAATAGAAAATGACAAAGTATACATTCAACTTAAGTATAGTAGATGTATTAGCACTATAATACTATAACTTGTGATTTCGTTCCTGATAAATACAAATAATATGGAAATAAATTTCTAAATTAATTCAAATAAAGTCAATAAATTTTATCTGTGAAAGAATACTAAAAGGAAATTTAGCAAATATGGACTATTTGTGCAACGATTTATCCAAAAGGAATGATGTTGAGACTTATGATTATCAGTCCAGTTGGCAAGAATATTCTCCAATGATGGAGATGAATGCATTAGTTTTTCTTGATCTGTTATCATTATATTATGTAAACATGATTAAAGTATTTGTATGGTTCTATATTTACAAGAAATATTTTTATTATAAATTGATTTCACAAATTAGCTTGCCTTTAAGGAAAGATATATGACATCACATTAGCAAATGTCTAATAAAACAACATTTTGATGTAATACAGTCTCAGAACCTGTGAATTTAAGTAAATGTGAATTTACTTAAAGTGAGTCTCCACTAAGTCTAACAATTTCACTGCTGCTCCTTCAGGGAAGTTTTAATGCTGTAACATGGAGGACTATTGGGGAGGCATGTGTTCTTCCATTTGTCAACTTTCTTTGGATTTTTCATTCACCATGATACTTTCTCTGTAGTGTCTCTCAATACTATGTCATGGAGGCAGACAAATAGAAGTTTTATTTCAATATAACTAAAACATCAAGTAAAAATTCATAGAAGTAACATTGGGTATAAGTCTTGAATCCAGGTTGAGATTTCAATGTGGGATGATGGCACATCAGACAGAGGATTTCAATGTTAATCATACTCCTATTACTAACTGTACAAATACAAAATTCAATGTATTTAGAATGTGAAGAAGTTAGGATGCAGAGGGAAGGTGATGTCTACATGTGATAAGTAAAAGCAAGTGGAAACGCAGTGGTCTTGACTGAAACTAGAAAACTGGGTATTTCTGAGTTCTCAGACAACTTTGGTCAATTTTAGTCATGTGGAAGAGGGGGGAGACAAGTAGAGAAAGAGAAATTCAGAAGGGGATGATTTTTTTTCTTCCAACATCACTTAATATATACCCAATTTTAAACCCAAAGATGCAAGTTAAGTTTATTACTTTCTTTATTTCAAAAACAAAGTACAATTTAGTTGTAGATAAAAGTATCAACAATTGTGGTATTTGTTAAACATTATCAATTGTATAAAAATTTTATCTTTAAACGTTTTCTCTTTGGTCATGTGAAATTTGCAAGAATATAAGCCTTACTTATGAGTTTATTTACTATTTGTTTAGTTTTTAAACACTTAGTTTTTTGGACTGTTTAATTTTGAAAACTTATTGTTAAAGCCATTCATTTTTAATTTTTATGTTGCTAAAGTTTTCAAATGTAGCCTGATTAAAATAAAAATCTGAGGAATTTTGTACAGTTAAGTTTAGGAATTTTCCTAAAGGTGGATAATTTTTTTTTCATAAACTTTAAGAACAAAAGTGACAGGAAACTAATTTTATGTATTATGTTAGTAGTAATTGACAAATAGGTGTGACTATACATTATCAGATTAATTATCAGTAATTTTCACAATGATATTACAGGTTTAGATTAAGAAAGTAAACTTGAACTTTGAAATGTCAAATTTTTAAATATTTTTTCCAGTTAATAAAAATTCTGTTTTTTTGTTTGTTTGTTTGTTTGTTTGTTTTGTTTTCTCCTCCCAGATGCAGGATCAGGATCTGGAGATGGAGGTAGGATGTAGCTATTTTTCTATACTTAAAAACTCAGGTGGATATTATTATGGATATTTTCTTATGTATATTCTATTACAAATGTCTCAGATAAATTTACATTTTTTGTTTTAGGAAAAGAGAAAACAAAAATCATTCTCCTTGCTAAGAAAATGTATCTACCATGCAAATTAGTCTATTTGTCAATCATATACTATCTCCATTTCATCTTTTTTGTTCATTTACTTGTGTGTGAGTAAGCTGTCCTTGAGACAGACTCAGAATGTCAAAACTTCCTAAAAAAAATGAAGTTTTCATGCATATATGTGAGGACAAAAAGATTTCATGAGGAAATCATTTAGATTTGCATTTTTAAAGTACGTAACACTTAATAAAAAAATACGTAATACTTCCTTCAATGCCAATGTACTAATATTAACACACATATAATTTTCATATAGTCAATGTCTTAATTACCAAATTTGTAGTTTGAAATTAAAAGAACTTTCATTCATAATAGAAAAAAATGTCAAACAAATTTAAATCAATGAAAGCAAGACATTATCTTTGCTTTATTGGTTACATGAAAATATAATTCTTTTCCATAAAAATATGATACATATTTTTTATTTAATTTTGCTTGTAGGAATATGTAAGAGAAAGGTAGAAAATTTAAAATTTGGATCTAATGTACTTAGAACCAAATGAAGATTCTAATGCTAACTCATTCTAAATGTCTCAAGTGCTTTTCCAAATGAAGGCCAGGTGAAATTCTACTTTTATGTGCATAAACCAAAACAAAAACCTAGATATAATTTCAAGATTAATAACAAACCATTAATAAAAATATAAATATCTCAAGGGCTTCTTAAGTTTTGTAAAATAATTAAATGTATGATTTTGAGTTACGTTTTAAATGCATAGTTTGAAGAAGACTGTGGATTTAGGAAAAGAGCAGATTTTTAATGCACAGTTATTTAGTTTGAGAAACTTTGAAGATTTTTCAAGTTGCCTCATGTAACTTATTAGTAAAAGGCTTTACTAATTCAAATAAACTACACTTAGGGAACACAATTAGAGCAGCATATTGGAGCATATTCCCCGCCCCCATAAAGATTAAAACTGAACAGGAGTCAAGACTCAAGCATGGACTGCATTTCAGCATCACATGATATTGGACAGTCACTTGAGTTTTGGACAGTCTTTCTCTACTTCAAGAAATTAAGTTGACCCCCAGCCCCAGTCTGGTTGATTAATATGCTATTCTCAAGGAAGCTTCCTTAGAGGCTTTGAAAAGATGAGCTTAGAGAACAAATTAAATATTAAAGAAAAAGAAAAGGAAAAAAAAAAAAAACATTTCCTCAAGTAGATGTTTCATCACTGGAATATTAAGAAATCATTTAATTTTTAAAATGTTGCTTTTGTAAGGAAGTAATTTTTATGCAGAATTCTGTATACCTTCAAGCCATTTAGTTTTATGTGTAGACTATCTAATTTGGCAGGTATTGTGTTGAGATTGAACTGTTCCACTATTCCTCCAACAAGCCTTGTTCATTTTCTTGCATCTTAAAAAAAAAAAAAAATCCACAGAACACAGAATATCTTCTTTTCCTTCCTGTTAAATTGAGTCTCCTATCACAGCATGCATCATTTCTTCTTGTTTTTAAATGATAGGATATAGTTTCTGTTTCAGATACTAGTTTTTAGTTTTTCTTTCACTGTTGTTAGTACATGCAAATGAAAGTGAAGTCGAATTTACTTTTCCTTGTTGCGTTTTATATTGAAATCTTTGGTTCATTATGTTGTCTTGTGATCTGAGTAAGGCTGAATTTTTCAGGAAATAATTTTAATCTCTTGAGTATGACATTTATAACTTACTTCATAATATATGGGTGATACGTCATGTGGAAACCACTTTTTTCTGTTTTCTTTTCCTTTTTATTTTTTCTATTCCTTTCGATTTTAGGTGATTTGTAGTAACTTAGAGTAAAAAAGAAACATGAAAATTTCTTAAGATGTTTAGAAAAAACTAGAGCACAAAAACTATTTTATTCTGAGTTAAATCTTTTAAATAATCAGGATTCTGAAAATTTTAGTAATGTGTATTTATTCTTAGCTGAACAAACTTTTTTAAATTAGAGGTAAATGTTTTAATTTTTGACCGATTTGCTTTTTTTTACCCCTAATCTACATGTGACTGTGCTCTGGAATACTAATGGTTTTAACTTTATTTAAAATATTTATTACAAGATGCCAAAAGTCTTAATAGCTACAATTAAAGTGGTATACAAAAGTACAATTTACATAACTTTTGAGTTGTACATAAAATATAGTTGAGCTGGGCATGGTGGCACATGCCTGTAATCCCACCGGCTCCAAAGACTAACGCATGAGGATCTTGAGTTCAAAGTTAGCCTCAAGCAATATTGAGGCACTAAACAACTCAGTGAGACCCTGTCTCTAAATAAAATACCAAAAAAAGAGGGGGGCTGGGGATGTGGCTCAGTGGTTGAGTGCCCCTGATTTCAATCCCTGGTGTGTATACACACACACACACACACACACATACACACATATATGTATATATATATATATATATATATATATATATATATATATATTCTACTGTACAGATACTATACTGGCTCAGTATTTTAATATAGTGCCTACAACCAAGTCATCAGAGTGTCCCTAATCAGTTTCTTTTGAATTACCCTGGAATGATTAAATAACCTATGCTTTATGCTTGTTTGGCTAATCTCAATTATAGCTAGAATTTTTTCTAAGTGGTTGGTGCCTATAGAATATATTCTCAGTACTATGTTTAGTTAATAATTAGGTCATCTTTGCAAGCATTTTGGAAGATTAGTGGTCATTTTTCCAATTTCTTATTTTAACAAAAAGTTAACATAATTCCGAAATAGAGTGCATTGATCCAAATAGTGAAGTGAACAAATTTACTTGGAAAACATTTTTATGTGTGACTAGCATAAATCATATTATTAAGCATCCAAATTCTGAAATTATTTTAAAATACATCAATTTTTACTTTTTTGATTGTACTATATTTTTAAATGAGTAAATATGTGGTAGTAATGAAAATTAGACTTGATTATTTTTTAAATAACTTAAGCCTAGACTTTGTGCACAAGTGCATATCTGACATTTATTGCATTTGAGGGAACATTTTAATTGCAAATAAAAGGGATATAAAGGTTTCATAAAATTTATGTTAACTTGTTTGGATGCATTTTATAGGAGTTTAAAAATCTTTAACTATTGATCTGTTCGTTCAGATGAAATTTTCAACTGGTTAACTTTATTAGTATACACGTGTACTGTGTCTCTGACATGATCTACAGATGTGCATTCATTCATAAGGGCAATTTGCAGAGTAATAAGAAGAAAACACTGCATACAAATATTAAGGGTAGCTTTTCTCATTTCAGAGTCTATGCTCTTCTCCTGGTGTTTCAGAAAACTTGTAATATAAGAAATAATTTTGCATTATTAGTTTTCAACATAAGACTTACAGTTTATGGAATTCTGTTTTCGAAGAAAAATATTTGGTCAAAAAAGCATCTACTTCAGGTATCTTTTTTGGATATGCTCATGCTTTAAAAGATAAATCAGGATAAGCCATAATTAATTGTAAAGTGTTCTATTGGAAGGTAAAATTTCAACCAAATTCCAAAGAATTTTAGAAAGTGATTGAACAAAAAGGATTAGTGTTCCAAGTGCTTGTATATATGGAGATTTAATGTTGTAAATAAGAAATCGGGTGTGTAGGAGGAATAATAATCTCTTATCTACCCACAGACTTCCTTAAGCAACAAATACTTCAGGAAGAAAAAGTATTAAAGATGCCTCCTCTCAAAATCCAACGATATGTGGGTGGTTTAAGGATTGTTTTTAACCCATGTTTTTCAGTCATATTTTAAAGGCAAAGTTATGACTGTTTTCCATTATTTCTCTTTTTTCAAACCCAATTCTGGATTGCTTAGGTTTTTGCTAGATACATAAAAATTAAAAGTAAGTCCAGTAAGATGAAAACTATATTTTAACTATTAAAGTTATTATAAACATACTATCTTGCCATATATAAGACAGGATCCCAATTAAATTTTACTAACATAGGGGATGTTATAATAATGATTATAAAAATAAAATGTATTTAAGACACAGGATAGATCCAATGGATATAGTTTTATTTCATGAGGTACAAGAGAGCATGGGTGTGTAGGAGGAATATGACCACTTATGTGGTTGTACAAGTCTAATAGATTGATGTCAACAAGTAATAAGTCAAATTATTCTATTTATAAATAAAGTCTCATTTTCATATGAGTATCCATGTAATTTTTATCATAGATAACCTTTGTTAGAAAACCAGTTGACATATTATTTTTAATTACTGAAAAAAATTCTTTACAAATTATCTTTATATTACATAAATATCCATAATTAAAACATTTATAAACACTACACATATAACAAGAAAAGACCACCTTGCAACAAATCATCAATCTTTCTGATAATGTGGATTGCTAAAGACTGACAGATTTGTAAGAAGTTTGAGAATTTAGAAATCATTTTTTTAAAAAAATATCTTTCCTTCTAATATGGGCTTGATAATATTCAGGAATTTAGTTGACTTGAACAAGTATAATATAACCTGGGTCCTGTGGCAAGATTCCTGGAACTGCAATGATAAAGATGATCACAGTTTTCTACACTCAGGGAGATTACATATAAATTCTCTCCCCAGCACACAGTGGGAAAATTATGATTCTAATTATGAGAAGGAAAATAACCCCCTACAGAAAAAAATGTTAAATACACTGTAAATAACAAGGAACTAAATATTCATCCCATAAAATAACTTTACATAAAAATAAGTAATTTTTTTCTTCTCTATTGCTGCGCTCATTCCTTGTCCTGACCGGAGTTTGTACCTTCCCCACTTTATGTCACAGTCAGACACTAGCAAACACCACAAGCCTCACCATATCCCCCACCCA